TAAAGCTGCCTTCTGCAATTGACAGTTGGGAATTCTGTCAATGCCAATGAGTTAAACTGCCTTCTGCAATTGACAGATTCTGTCAATGCGTCTCTGATTAAAACCGCCTTTTTGCATTTGACAGATGGGGATTCTGTCAATGCCACTCTGAGTCAAGCTTTCTTTTGCAATTGACAGATTCTGTCAACGCGTCTCTGATTAAAGCTGCTGTTTTGCATTTGACAGAAGGGAATTCAGTCAATGTCATTTTGATTAAAGCTGCCTTCTGCAATTGACAGTTGGGAATTCTGTCAATGCCACTGAGCTAAACTGCCTTCTGCAATTGACAGATTCTGTCAACGCGTCTCTGATTAAAGCTGCTGTTTTGCATTTGACAGAAGGGAATTCAGTCAATGTCATTTTGATTAAAGCTGCCTTCTGCAATTGACAGTTGGGAATTCTGTCAATGCCACTGAGTTAAACTGCCTTCTGCAATTGACAGATTCCGTCAATGCATCTGATTAAAACTGCCTTTTTGCATTTGACAAAAGGGAATTCAGTCAATGTCACTTTGATTAAAGCTGCCTTCTGCAATTGACAGTTGGGAATTCTGTCAATGCCACTGAGCTAAACTGCCTCCTGCAATTGACAGATTCTGCCTATGCCTCTCTGATTAAAACTGCCTTTTTTGGCAGTTTTTTGTCAATGCCACTCTGCTTAAAGCTGCCTTCTGCAATTGACAGAATTATGGCAGTTTTATGTTTGCAGGTCTCAAAGTTGGATTCGATGGCAACAATTCCCGCAGCAAAGTAGAGATTCCAGACTAATTCCCTGCTTGACTCCTCCCCTTATCTTGGCAAGTCTTTCTCCAACAACAGACGGCAAAAAAAAAAAAGGATGTAAACCACTTCTATTTCCAGACAGGAAGCCCCGAAAGTTGGTTTGCCAGAACGTTACCCCCTTTCATGTAAACTAACCCCTCAACTCTGCTCTGGGGAGGGGATGGTATGAAGATTAATGAAGATTAATCCACAGGCCTTAAAACCGCCGAGCAATTTTTGGAAACACCTGGCCAAGATTTTTGTCTGCGATGTGAAGTTTTGCTGGTCTCACCTGACCGCAAGTTGGTCATCGTGGACGGCAGCTGCAGATAGGTCGGGTTGTGGGTGGTGACGCCAATCTCGATGGAGCCGGCCCATTTGTCCACCATCTTGTCAATCCTCACCTGGAAGACCTCGCCGTTCCGCAGCGGCCGGTTGCTAAGGACCACGCCGTGGTTAAAGTCGTCGGTGGCACTGTGCGGACAGAGAAGGAAGGAAGGAAGGGCAGCGGTCACTGTCAGAGCTCCTCTCGGGACAGTGTCCAACAAACCGTGGTTAGCCACTACAAGATGGACGAGGCGGGAGACCCAGGCAGGTAAGTCCCAAAGGTGTTTCCCCCCCCCCCTTGAAGACGTCCGAGAAGCTTCCTCCGCTCTGACTTGGATGGAGGGGAAGGGAAGGATTGATGCTCCTTGCAGACAAAGCTGGTCGTTTGCAATTCTTTTTAGAGGGTCGTTGAGGCCACCTGGAGGTTCATCTGCATCCTGAGGGTCCACCTGAGTGGTGAAAATGGGGCGGTGGAGCCTCCTTGGAACGGCTGGACGGAGCCGCGATGTGGACTCCGAACCCCTTTGCGCCACTCAGGTGACCCTGAGGAGACAGAGAGAGCTCCAGGTGGCCTCAACGGATCTCTAGAACAAGCGTCTTCAAAGAAAAAAAACAGAAAGTCCAGTTGCCCCTGGAAAAAGCACCTTTGGGAGAAAGAAAGAAAAGAAAGAAAGAAAGAAAGAAAGAGAAGGAAGAAGGAAAGAAAGAGGAAGAAAGAAAGAAGAGAAAGGAAGAAAGAATGGAAAGATAGGAAGGAAGGAAGGAAGGAAGGAAAGAGGGAGGAAGAAAGAAAGAAAAAGAAAGAGAAAGGAATAAAGAATGGAAAGATGGGAAGGAAGAAAGGAAGAAAAGAGAGGGAGGAAGAAAGAAAGAATGATTGGAAAGATAGGAAGGAAGGAAGGAAAGAGAGGAAGAAAGAAAGAAAAAGAAAGAAGAGAAAGGAATAAAGAATGGAAAGATGGGAAGGAAGAAAGGAAGAAAAGAGAGGGAGGAAGAAAGAAAGAATGATTGGAAAGATAGGAAGGAAGGAAGGAAAGAGAGGAAGAAAGAAAGAAAAAGAAAGAAGAGAGAGGAAGAAAGAATGGAAAGATAGGAAGGAAGAAAGGAAGGAAGAAAAGAGAGGGAGGAAGAAAGAAAGAATGATTGGAAAGATAGGAAGGAAGGAAAGAGAGGAAGAAAGAAAGAAAAAGAAAGAAGAGAAAGGAAGAAAGAATGGAAAGATAGGAAGGAAGAAAGGAAGGAAGAAAAGAGAGGGAGGAAGAAAGAAAGCATGATTGGAAAGATAGAAGACAGAAAGAAAGGAAGGAAGGAAAGAGAGGGAGGAAGAAAGTCAAAGAGGAAGAAAGAAAGAAGGGAAAGGAAGAAAGGAAAAAAGAAAATGGAATCCTAGGAAGGAAGGAAGGAAGGAAGGAAGGAAGGAAGGAAGGAAGGAAGG